ATCTGATAACTGTGTTACTACGCCTCACTGCGTGAATTGTGACGGGGAACACGCCGCGTATTCGCGTTCGTGTCCTAACTGGAAGAAAGAAAAAGAAATCATCACTCTTAAAGTCAAAGAAAACATCACAATCAAAGAAGCAAGAGGAAGAGTGTCGCCATTTTACGGCGCAACATATGCTGATGCGGCGCGTCAGGGGGCAACGCCGCACCAGCCCTCGCCACCCCTTCGGCCAGCGCAGAGCGAGCCATCGGCTGTGGCGCCTGCCCCCAAGGCGGCAGTAGTTCAGTCTACTCCGCCTTCAAGCAAATTGAGGTCGGAGACTCCAGGGTCCTCTGGTCTCAAGGCCTCCCCTCACCAGGCGAGGCCTAAAATCTGAACCACCAGCTCGCATGTGCGGGCATCCAGTGCCTCTGAGGAGGCAATGGATACAACGGTACCCTTGGTACCAAAATAGCGGCGCGCCTCCTTGGAGCGTGCCAAGAAAAATAAAAAACCAATAACGGGGCCGGACGACCATCCTGCCACCTGAATTAACGAGCTCACTAAAACACAGGATACTCTTTGTACACACAGCAGCATCTCTTTTGTTTAAATATGCAGACAGAAATACTACAGTGGAACATCCGAGGCCTTTTTCAAAACCTCGATGACTTACAAGAACTCCTCCATGAACACAATCCAAGAGTGTTGTGTGTACAAGAGACACACTTAAAACGAACTAACACAAACTTTTTACGAAACTAGATAATCTTCCGAAAGGATAGAGATGATGCCATGCTACCATCCGGTGCTGTAGCGGTTATAGTAAGTCAAGGTATAGCATGCACACAATTACCCCTTCAAACTTCCCTCGAGGCGGTGGCTGTCCAAGCAGTTATTCTAAACAAACTTGTCACTGTCTGCTCTTTGTACATACCTCCACACCACCGTCTCGAAAAACTTCAATTCCAGTCTTTAATAGACGAACTACCTGAACCTTATCTGGTCCTTGGGGACCTGAACGCACATAACGGTCTGTGGGGTGACTCTCGCTGTGATGCCCGAGGTCGTCTCATTGAACAATTCCTCATTTCATCGGGTGCTTGTCTGTTGAATAGGAAAGAGGCAACATACTATAACCTTGCCAACAAAACTTACTCTTCCATAGACCTCAGTATCGCATCTCCTTCACTTGTACCATTACTTCAGTGGAAAGTCATAAATAATCCATACGGAAGTGACCATTTCCCTTTAGTTTTGAGTACACCAATAATAAATGAATCTCCTCCACATGTTCCCAAATGGCTGGTAAACAAAGCCAACTGGGAACAATTTCAAAAGCTTACTCACCTAAATTGGACTGACATCTGCGGGTTAGTCATAGATGAAGCTGTGCAGTACTTCACGGCTTTTCTTACTGACGCCGCAACCAAGTGCATTCCACAAACATCTGGACTGCCCGGCAAACGACACGTTCCGTGGTGGAACACTGTGTGTCAGAATGCGCGAAAGGAACAGAACAGGGCATGGAGGTTGCTGTGGAACTCGCCAACAGCGGAAAACCTTGAGAGCTTTAAGAAAATAAAATCTCGAGGCAGGAGAACGCGTCGGCAGGCCAGAAAAGAAAGCTGGCACAAGTTTTTATCAGGGATAAATTCATATACACAAGAGGCTAAAGTCTGGAACATGGTTCGTAGGGTAGCAGGAAGACAAGTACACTCACTGCCACTCGTAAACACGCAGGGTGATAGCCTGGAAGATCAAGCGAACTTCCTCGGTGCACACTACGAGCAGGTGTCTAGCTCGTCACACTACACTGAAGCTTTCCAAAGACACAAAGCAAAGATAGAAAAGCAGAAACTAAAACCCAAGTGCACAAATTACGAGGAATACAACCAACCTTTTAACTTAGCTGAGCTACAAACATCGCTAAACTCTTGTAATAATTCCGCTCCCGGCTACGACCGTGTCACATATGAAATGTTGAAAAACCTGCCGCTCGAAACGCGAAAAACTTACTCTCCCTATACAATGCTATCTGGCTTTCAGGCACCATCCCTGCTTCCTGGAAAGAGGCTATTGTCATCCCTATTTTGAAACAGGGCAAGGACCCTTCCTCAGTTTCAAATTATAGGCCCATTGCACAAACCAGCTGCCTTTGTAAACTTTTTGAAAAAATGATAAACCGCCGAATTTTATATTTCCTTGAAACACACATACTGCTCGACCAATTTCAGTGTGGGTTTCGGGAGGGTAGATCCAATACTGACCATCTGGTGCGTATTGAGGCACAGATCCGAGACGCTTTCATCCACAAACAATACTTCCTCTCAGTGTTTCTTGATATCGAAAAGGCCTACGACACAACATGGCGTTTTGGCATATTAAGAGACTTGTCTCACCTGGGTGTGCGCGGTAGAATGCTTTCCATAATCTAGAGTTACTTGTCCAATCGGAAATTCCGTGTCCGTGTGGGCAGTATTCTCTCGCAAACATTTGTGCAAGAAACGGGAGTACCGCAAGGTGGTGTACTTAGTTGTACACTTTTTATTATTAAAATGAATTCCTTGCACCTGTCCATCCCCCGCAACATGTTCTATTCCACATATGTCGATGACGTCCAGCTTGGCTTTAAGTCATGCAACCTAGCAATGTGTGAGCGGCAGGTTCAGTTAGGTTTAAACAAGGTCTCCAAATGGGCAGAGGAAAACGGATTCCGGCTGAACCCAGGAAAAAGCACGTGTATCTTGTTCTCCCGAAAGAGAGGCACGCACTCAGAACCCGAGATTGAACTGAACGGCCAACGTCTGTCTGTGAATGCGGAGCATAAATTCTTAGGCTTAATCTTGGACAGCAAGTTGACATTCGTACCACACATCAAGTATTTAAAAACAAAATGTTTAAAAGCCATGAGTGTTATAAAAGTGTTGTCACGTACTACGTGGGGTAGTGACAGGCAATGCCTCATTAACTTGTATAGAAGCCTCATTCGCACCTGCTTAGATTATGGGGCCGTTGTCTATCAGTCTGCGACTCAAAGGGCTTTGAAGATGCTGGATCCCGTGCACCATTTAGGCATCCGCCTTTCTACGGGTGCTTTTCGCACCAGCCCCGTAGAAAGCCTTTACATTGAGTCAAATGAGTGGTCACTTCATCTGCAAAGAACTTACATGTCCTTTGTATATTTTCTTAAGGTGAAAGCAGACAAGAGGCACCCCTCATACTCTACTATTAATGCTTTGTCGAGCTCGATTCTGTTTCAAAACAGGCCTTCAACTAGGCAGTCCTTCTCAGTTCGCCTGAAGGGACTAGCTGAGGACACTGGAGTGTCACTCGAACACAGTTTAATGGCTCCTGTAGCATACCTTCCACCGTGGCAGTAGCAGACTATAGATTGCGATGTGTCTTTCCTAGAAATTACTAAACATGCGCCTATTGCACAAATCGAACATACTTCCTGGAACTTCAACACAAATACACACGTCCCGAGTTCTTTACAGATGCCTCTAAGTCCAACTCCTCTGTGTCCTACGCTGCTGTTGGCCCTTCCTTTTCGGATGCTGGCCCTCTACATCCAGGCACAAGTATCTTCACAGCGGAAGCTTACGCGATACTTGTGGCAGCTAAACACATCAAACAATTACAAATACAAAAAGCAGTAATTTTTACAGACTCCCTCACTGTGGTAACGGCTCTGCAAAGTCTTAAAAAACAAAAAAAACCCTGTCCTCGTTTCACTTTACTCCATTTTATGCACACTCTACACACTCAACCAACATGTTGTAGTGTGCTGGGTGCCAGGGCACCGTGAGATTCAAGGCAACGTAAGTGCGGATCAGCTCGCTGCATCCGTCCACAAAAGCACTGCCCCTACACCCATATCAATCCCGGCCCTTTATCTTAAGCCGTCTCTCAAACGAAACCTCAGGGTATACTGGCAGAGCAAGTGGGATACACACACACAAAACAAACTACACGTTATTAAGCTTGGTCATTGGCTGCCCGTATCGAAATCACGTCATACAGAGGTAATACTAACAAGACTCAGGATAGGACACACATACACGACACACACATATCTTTTGTCTGGTGGCGATCCACCATTGTGTGACAGATGTGGTGAAGCATTGACAGTCCTTCACATGTTAATCCAGTGCAAACACTTAGAAACTCTAAGAAAACGACTTTTTCCATTACCCTACCGACAACATATACCTTTACACCCTGCAATGTTCGTCGGTAGGGAACCGCTTTTTAGTCATAAATTATTGTTAGCGTTTTTAAAAGAAATTCATAATTTTCATATTATATACCCGGGCATTCCGTAGCATGACCTCTCTAGAGTGGTTTTTGCTGCGGAGGTTACACAAGAAAGCTTTTGCCTCACGGCCCTTGGACGCAAGGGTATGAACGAGTGAAGCACTTGTGCTAATGCCATGCATATCCACCATCGTCTTTATTATCACCAACTTTTGTCATCTATTCACACCACACACATCTTTCACGGCATGGTCATCATTTTATTACTTGTATGTTCTTACCCGCCTTATCGCGAGGAATTTTATGGCCCTTATACAGCCGCTTATCACAATCATTGTCCATATTTTTAGTAAGATGAATTGACGCTCTTTGGTCAACAAATGGCCCTTGCGCCAAAAAACACCATATATCATCATCATCATCAGAGCTACGAGTACTGAAAAGGTACCCTCCTCCTCTGCTCTGCCTTTCACCCTCAACTATTCCTTCGAGCACTCGGGGATAAGCTCCGCCTTCACAGAGCCTGCGTCACGATGTGACGTGGCAGAACGCGTGTGTGACGTTGTGTCTTCTGCTTCCGGTAAGTCAAAGCAGAGCCACCGGCCGTCAGACGCTTGACCGCGGCTGTGCCAGCTGGGTGATCGTCTGTCTGTGCGCTGAACGCGAGCATCCTATGTTTTGTTTCACGGCGCTTTGGACCACTGCTCACCATGGACCCCGGACTTGAAGAGCGTTTGCGCCGAATGAGCGATGAAATGGTTTTCGAACCATGGAGCGACATAGCGTTTCGCTATTCTGCGCTTTGTACTAAGGATGACAGCAGTGATCCGCTGCCACCTGACTCACCGGACTTCCACGACGATGTCAACGATCACGGGTAAGTGTAAATGATTCAAGTAGCCCATTACCTTATTTGTTCAATACTTGTTCGTCTTCGCGTCCGCGTTTGCGGTGTCGCGCTTGTAACTTGTACGTTGTGCTGCAATATCACGAGCGTAGAAACAATTTTGTCATTCTCTATCATTTTGCGGTGTTTGAGCGGTGTCCACGATAACGATAACTTAGGCCGATTTTCGTGACTTCAGGTGCGAAAGCGGGCTTTGTGGAGCAGTGCCAATGGCCCTTGAACAACTCTGCTTCGCGACATACCACAAGTTGTTCGGGAAAGTCCGGACTGCTGCATAACTCGGCACGAAGTCTTCCGAAGCATGTGCCTGCACTCAGCGGTGCTGCGTGCTGTAGAACGGCGTCGCGGTTGAAAGAGAAGTGCACAGGTAATATTGTATCAAACAAACGAAAAAAACACATCTTGAATTTGCAGTTCCAAAAACGTCATCTTATGCATTCTTCAAGGAAATATAACTTTCTAGTGAACCGCTTCTCCACGTGATGGATTTGGCAGAAGCTTAAACGACCCAACACAGTTGTGTTACCTGCGTGCGTAGTCACTGCCACCCGGAAGCAGTTTCCGTCAGCCGACTACGTGAGCTTCCGATATACGTCTTTGCGCACGTGAAAGCTTTTTATCTTAACTTGAAAATAAACTGCAAGCTGTCCGTGCTTTCGACTACGCATCAAATATATTCGCACATAAATGACTTCCGCATTTATGTCCTTTTAGGTTGACCTGTTTTGCACAGGTTTGTTTTTCGAATGGACTTGTTATGCAATATCTCACTCCAAACTAGTTGTGCTTCGTGCATGATCTTTCAAGAGAATAATATGTAGGGCTTGCTTTCGCATCACTTATGATGTTATTCGCAGACTATTTCATTAGTCAACTGTTAAAAAGTAGGTGCAGAATTGCCAAGCAGAAGCAACTGCCAAACAGAAGACTCACCCAAACAAGAAACGAGGCGCATTCTTTAAATACGCCCATCTAGTCATTCTGTCAAACTTGTGATACCATCTCGAGTAGATCTAGCTCTGTTTGGGCTGCCTCCCGTAGCACACAGACGTGAAAATATGATGTAGCTCTCTCGCTCAATTCACACAGTGGCTTTTGTGTGCTGCTCGCCGTAGCACACATGTAAAAATATCATTTCATGCACTTCACAAAAAGCAATTATGGCTGCATCGTTGCCCAACTGCCAGGGAGGCAGTTTTGTCAGTCAATTTCGGCTCTCTCGCTCGATTCACCAAGTGGCACTCTGTGTTCTGTCAGCCGTATAGCACACACGTTAAAATAACATTTGACAGCACTTTCCCCAAGTCAGTCATGGTTGCCTGTTTGCCGAACTGCCAAGAAGGTTTGTTCCATCGCACTTCTGTCAGAAGACCTCAGCTGCGTCATCATTATGGTTGTATTCTCTCTGCTTAACCGTCCTTTTGACGTTGCCCCATTCACTAGAGTGAGAAGCCTCCAGCAGTGTCTTCTCTACGGTTGCATTTTTTCCGTTTAACTGAGCTTTCGACCTTGCTTCAATCCAGTGAAGCTCTCTCGTTCGATCCACACAGTGGCTGTCTGTGTGCTTCCAGCCAGAACACACAAACGTGAAAATAGATTTGATGCCAGTTTCATGGTAAGCTTTTGATGCTGTTCTAAGTATCGCTGACTACCCGTCATGGTGGTCTAGTTGTCGTGGTACTGAACTGATAACCCAAAGGATGCTGTATCAAATCTCAACCGTTGCGGCTGCCTTTTCAGTGGAGGCGAAAGTGATTGAAGCCTTGTACTTTGATTTAGGTGCATGTTGAAGAACATCATGTTAAAAAAATTCTTGGCACCATTCACTATAGAGTACCTCATTATTATTGCATCACTGTTTTGGGGCATTGAACCCAAACCAACATCACCAGAATGAATGCATATCACCGATTAGAGGTCGATGATGTTATAAAGCGTGTGTGCCTCTGAGCAATGAGCTCCTCCTTAGATGGCCATTCATAGGTGAGGGGTATATGCCATGGCTTTGCTGCCTCATTCCTTGTAAGGCTCTCCTGATATGATGAGAATTCACGGAGGTCCATGGCATGTTCCAACAGCCCTTAACATAGCCTGCATGGTGAAGAGAGACAAAGTCACTGTCATGCAAGCACAAATTACAAGATAAAAGTAATTACTACATTTACTTGATTGTAGGTCAACTTACCTCATGAGTGATATAAATCCACTTTTTTGGGGGGGAGATTTCGTGTGACAATAAAAAACTTTATCTAGTGCAGCTGGTGACTACAACGAACATGAGAATCACGCATGCTGTGGCATGGTTACAATCTTGTATTTCCCTTCAGGCTCTATTTTTAGCATATAGTTATTACACGCTTGTTCGGAAGAATATTTTGTTTAACTATTACCTTGTCATTTCTTGTCATCTGAAGTGCCACAGTTTGTTAGAACCACATCTGTTCAATAAACAGTCAACACTCCTTACCAGATGCGCACCCCTTTTTTGTACTGTTACTATCTGCACCAGCTGAAAGCTCCTCAGCAGTGGTGACATTACAAAAAGTAGAGGGTCACCCTCAAGCCTCCTTATATCAAATTATTGAAAACTAGCTGATACAGAAACCAAGGAATATATGGAGTATGTCAATTGTGCTCTTTTATTGGTACTGTAGTAGTAATCGTGACATAAGTGTGAAAAAAAAACAGCTTTGTACCTGCAGTAACCAAACCTCCAACCATCAGATCACATGCCTTATCATTGACCTTATTCAAACTACACTTCCAGCTATCAGATTTTCATGTACAGTTCAGGGACTTGCTTTTAATGTTATAGGATAACAGAGCTCAGATGACAGAAATTTCGGTGTCAGCTCCATTTGTTATAGTAAACTGTAAAATAGAAAAGTTTTCTGGGAGCAATGTCGCTACTGAAAGTATTTGGGGATGCACTTGCTTGTAATGTCAAAACATGTTTGAGCCCCCAAAGTGGTGATGGGGGCTAGTTGTTTTGAGTCACTTGTGTTCCTGTTCGTAGAAAACAACAGACGCAGACATAACGAACACATATGTAGGACCAGTGCACGTACTGTGTATGCGTTTATTGATTGTGTCTGCACATGTTTTTTCGCTACATATTTTCGGTACAAGTTTTTTCAAAGCTAGACTAGTCCCAGGATTTCTTATAAGCTAGTATGTTATGGCTGGTTGTCTTCAATATTGTAATTCGTTCATGCATGCAAGAGGAAAGTTGCAAGTTGCAAGTGCGTCTACCATAATTACAAGTTAAAGAGCTAGTTTTCAAGATGTTACTCAAGAGTAAATATCAGCTTTTTTAGGTAATTTTTCAGAGTCGGCCAAATTACTGCTCATGTGCCAAACTAATTTTATAAACAGTGTTCATGCTTACTTTTACCAACGTGCCAAAGATCATACCAGTGTAGCATGTTTTCCTTTTGTTTGCGGCAGTATAGCTTGACACTAGGATGTCGATCTGAGAAAAATTATGCCTAATAAGTCCCTTAGACCTGCTGTCATGGGCACACACAGTGCTTTCTACAAGAGTGAAAAAACTCCCATCCCCCTTGCATCCAACATTTGTTCTTGAAACAGTAATTTAACAATTTCACATAAAGATATACTTTTAATAACTTAATGTTTCTTAGAATCATTTGCAAATTTTGCACAAACATATGATACTTGTCAACGATCGTATGTGGATGTCTAGATTCTCAAGAGCAGTCAGGCACTTAGCAAGTGCTTGCTTTTCCATGAGGACATTGTAGGAAACTTCAAGTGATGGTGAACAAAAGTGTAATAAGAGGTATCTTGTTAGCACTTGAAAAGTATACTAGTAGCACTGGAAGATTAACTCTCCAACTTCCACCAGCTCAGTGTGTAAAATACAGCCATTCTGCATGGCAAGCACACTGTATGTGAGATACTTGGTGCTGTAGCCAGGAGAGTCACATCGCCCATCACTGAGTGCATCCACCATGGCTGCTTGTTTTTTGAGGAAGAGCTGGAAAGACAGGTGTCACAATGCATAGGTTCTTTAGTATTCCACAGTATAATCACGGAGAGGAAACTCCCTATACCTCTCATGTATTCGCTCTCGGCAGCGGAAGCGCTGCTTTTACCACTGGTGGTGTTTCTGAAGAGGCAAAAGTTAAGCTGACTGATTTCACAGTAAGAAGAAACTCAATCGACACGAATAAAATGCTTTTTATTGCATGTTTTGCATAAAAACCAGATACATACACATAATGTGAAAGTGTCAATCTATAGATGCAGCTTCAATTTACAACTGACATGTGGACATAACGAGCAAATGTTGAAGCCAATATCTGAACCAATGTTAAAATCATAAACAATCGCGGATAGGACACATATTTGACTCAATCACGTTTGTTATGACGACAGGCGTACAAATTGAGTTCCAAGCGAAACTGAAGTTCAGAGGCACGAACAGGCTTGAAGCGATCAGAAGTTCTTCGAGAAAGAACGTCGCTGGCAACAGTGTTTCGGCAAGTTCACTTGTTCTCGTGACAGCAATAGCATTGCCTTGACGAAGAAAAGTTCACTTGTCAAAACGCTGCCTCCATCGACATTCTCTGTAATAATATTTAGAAGCACATTATTAGAAGTAAGGACTCGCAAAATTTGAAACCACGGCCACAAGAATTTCATAAGCAGGAAGCGGCCTATAATTATTTGACATCATTTGAACTAGTTGCCAAAAGTAAAAGTAGCTAAAACAATGTAGCCGAGCCAACTCGAATTCAAGCCTTTCTATAAACCCATTTTTCGACAGGAGCTTGGCTGTTGTGTTCACCAATTAGTCAAGCGACACTGCACTTTTCTCAGTCCAGTCTGGCTTGAGGAGAACTGGGTTTGCTTATATGTACTTATGCAAAATCATTACTTGCTCCAATAATTGGTCCAAGTTCTTCTGCTCACCCATTGCTTTTAGGAAATGCTGAAAAACCTTCGCGGAACCAGAAATCTCTGGGTTAGCACACCACAAAGCAACAAAAAACATGTGTTGCCCGAACGAGCCTTCTTCGACGAATGCATGGTTTACTTGTTCGGCATAGCTCACTGTGATTTATTCTCTGTCCACCACAAGTTGCCGTCTTTATCTATCTTGTAGTTGGCAGGGTAACCAACCGAGATAACTGAGCGAGATTCAGCTTCTAATATCGCTGAGCGAGAGGGAAGAAGGAGCGGAGGCAAGCGCTACGAACGCAAGTCAATCACTCTTTGCGCTTCACCAGATTTAAAATTCACGAAATAAGGAATAAGATAAAACATATAAACAAAACAGAAGCTCTTTACGGGACGTAGACATTCTTGTTTGTAAAAACTTGTGATGGCCAATAAATGCGAACAGTCACATCAATCTCACTCCGTTCAACCGGATCATAAGATTCCCAGCAACTTCTACGAGCATGCATGTTCTTTGAAAATGAAACTAGCGCCGAGTTTCCGGAGCTTGTTTAATAGCAATGATGTTTCATGCCGACATGCCCACGAGTATTCCCCCACTGCTACATTTTTATTATTGTACAAGTTCATCATCTTAAACTCAGTTCTATCATGAGTACTTATATTAGTCAGTTAGATAAATATTGCAGTATGCTAAAACTGTTTGTGTAACTATAATTTTTTAAGATGACTGGCTTCTACACTTTGATATTAGCATGCAAAAATATTCGGCTCTCTTTCGCATTGTAACCAAAAAATTAGATGGGCTAGTTTTGTACAAGATTTATACAACATGATTGCATGTTCTGAATTTAGATAACCTTGGCGAAGATATACAGATGAAAGCAAATGCTTTGCAATGTGTAAATCTATGACAAAATTGTGCTAAAAAGTAAGAATCACTTTAATGCAAGAGAAGTATAAGGATTTGTGTTCACGCTGCGGAATATGTCTGCAAGTCTTGCTATAGTTATATTTACATGTTGATCAATAAGTGCACCTGTTTTACTGCAGGGAGCAAGTAGGCCCTCTGGTAGTAGTAGAAGGCGCACTCCGTGATGACTTGAGCACCAAGGCATTCGATGGTTGCAGCCACCACGCAGCCCTAGTAGAGCATGCCAGCGGCCAGGAGAAAGTTGCTGGCTCCAGCACCACTACCTCGAACAAGTGGCTTGCTCCTCCACCGGAGCTTGTGCAGTTGCTCGTTCACCCCCTCTACAACGACCAGACTTCCCATGACACTGAAGTTCAGGTTGCCAACTACTTGGCCACATATGGAGCAGTTCATGAAGGAAGCTCTCAAAAACAATGAAATTTCATTCCCTGTGGAGAGGCTCTTCCATTGTTAGAATACCAGTGCCATCGTCTTAATGGATACTGCAGATGAATGACCACACAAGACATATTAGTGCTTCTGTGTTACTAAATTGCACAATGAACAAGTCACATGGCTTGTTTGAAAGAAAGAAATAAAAATTTTAACTCTTCATTTTTCTTTTGTAGACATAATGATAATGAGAACTAACCTACCATAATGCCATAAAAAGTATAGGGGACACTGATTATAGTAAGTGTGTAATTGAGAAGAAATCAAGAGGGACAAAAAATTTGCTTGCCAGGAGCTGGGACTGATCCTGCAAACGTCACATAACGCGTCCTATGCTCTACCAAATGAGGTAGCACGGTGGCCATTCTGTCGTCCTCATTATTCAGTATATATATATGCATTTACAAGTACCAGCGGGAGTCAGCGCTACTAGCAACCATGACGGCGAGTGTGAAACACTTTTTCTGCCTGTTGGTGTCGCGTAGCACGTGGTGGGGCTGATTGATGCACTCGCGTTTAAGTGCACATATGCCCCCCATAAAGTGGACGAGGAAATGGCCGCCACGATAGCTCGGTTAGTAGAGCATCAAATGTGTAATTCGAAGTTCACAAGTTCAGTTCCTGCTCATGAAAAGCCATCTTTTGGTACACCTTTATTTCTTTCACATTTACATTACATTCACAACTAATAACGTCCCCTATACTTAGGCACTATTGTTCGTTAGTTTTCAATAATACAGCTTCGTTAGGTTAGTGTTAAGTGACAGGCGATTATGTCAAAAAATATATACGTTATTAAAAAGTAATTTTATTGTAACTGTGAAGAAAAGTGGACGAAAAAATAACTTGGCGTGGGCAGGGACTGAACCTGCGACCTTCGAATAATGCATCCGACACTCTACCAACTGAGCTACCATGCTGGCCATCCCCCCGTCTAATTTATGGGACATGTATGTGCATTTAAATGTGGTAGTGTCAGTCAGCGCTGCCTGTTGCCATTGCAGCGAGTGGAGGACACTCATTTTTTGCCTATAGGCATTGTACAACAGGTGATGTTCTTACGGCTGGCAGCTGACTATTATTCCCTGGCATACTACACGATGGCATTAAGTCTGCCAGAACAAGACCCTCGCTATGAATGAAAAAATTGGGTTTATTTAAGGGCGTGTTTTCTTTGTTAGACAATATAATGAGAACTGACTGACAATTATGCCAAGAAAATTGTAGGAAATGTTAATAAAGTAATTGTAATGTAACTGTGAAGGAGGTTTTAGCCGCAATCATTATGTTGCCTGTAGCATGTGTTGTGGTGCTTAGCATGTTGGTGCTTAGCATGTGGGAGCATTGAACAATGCGACAGAAAGTATACAAAAAGCCAGACCCACAAAAGCAAGGCTTCCTTTGACCCCCATTTCCTAAATACGAGATAGCCTCCTAATTATTTTTTAGACTGACACAAATAAAGTAAGACTTTTCAGTGTCCTTGAACCACATGGTCTGCCCTTCTTGCATTTCACCTTGCAACAAATCTAGTGATCAGTGCTAATGCCAGGCAACCTTCGAGAGGAGTTGCTGAGGTTAATCAGTAGAGTGAGCACTACGATATCTAATAGGTGTCAGCATACACTCATCTGAAGCCATTACTTCACCTCCAAAGATACTACTACATTTTTTTATTGCTTATGGTCTCGATTAACTTAAATTCTCCTAATACGTTTAGTGTTTGCTGATTTTAAGTGCACTAGAGAAAAATTAAGTGGCCGATATAGGTAGTGTCGTTGTAGTGAAAGATTCAAGTATAATGTTGACAAATAGCTACAGCTCAATCGTGCACTAGTGACAGTTGCATTCGCGATAGGATCGGGAAAAAAGGCACTGCTAAAAAGCTTGTAGCTTTTATAATTGATGATGCAAGGTGAATACGTGAATTTACGGTGCTTATTATTACATTGTGCTGTAGGAGAAATACTAACGCAGCTTCAGTTAACCATTGCAGGGACCCTTTAGGTGCATCTCCTCACAACCAAGAAAACGTAATTGGCGTACTCCATTTTAGTAATAGCCGGTAACGCGGCACAAGTATACTATCACAAAACAGTCACTCCATGAGCTAACTGTAGCATTGTTTGGAAGTCTTATATAAAGTAACTGGCAATGTCTAATACCCGTGCCACACGGTACAGAAAATGACATTCGGTGGCGAAGGCATTCAGTTCCCGAATGACATTTTTTTCGGTGGTGCTGCTACACGTCCAAAGTGAATTACATTTGACTTGATGTCGATCGCAGCACCTTGCAAGTGAGCATTGAGTGAACAGCAATAAAAAATTAACAAGCGTTTATAAGCTTCATACACATCAGATAATCATTAAATATTGAAATAAGCATATGACGCTGTCCTATGTTTTAGTTTCTTGCTTTGTTTTGCAACGTTGCAGCCGACCGTAGCAACACTAGTCAGATCCACAGCGTAAAGAGAAAGTGGCGCCTGTCGCATCGCACCTGTCGCATCTATCAGAAGAAGATTCTCGCAGATTTCGCAGAGTTCGTTTTTTCACGGCCGCACTTGTGTGTTTCCGTGCAAAGCATCGTGCTCAAGGGCGAAAACTTTTGGAGCACAGACGAGTTATTATGCCCCAGCTTCAGGACATTGAACTTCAGTTAATATCAAACCATTTCAACCTGATCGCCGCAGCCTCTTCGCTGAGCACAACGCCTCAATCTCGGTGGTGTTTCCGTCGTAGCCAGCACTGGTTTGAAAAAACGCTACCAAATCTTGGGGAAGCATACTTCAAAAGGTGCTTTCGCGTCTCGGCTGCCACGTTTCGTTACATTGTGGAGTCGTGTCGTACCGACATACAGCGGGTGGACACAACGATGAGAGTGGCAATATCAGTAGAAAAAAGAGTAGCCGTCTCACTCTACCGCTTGTGCTCTGCTGCCGAAGACCGCACCATCGCCGAATTGTTCGCGATTGGCCCCTCTACTGTGCTCTTGCTCTACAAAGAGTTCTGTACGGCCGTACGGAGAAACCTGGAGGACAACTGGGTGAAGATGCCTTCGCCAACCGACATGGAGGAGCAAATCAGGGAATTTTTTGTGGTCACAGGATTCCCACAAGGTGTTGGGGCGCTCAACGGCTGCTACTTCCCAGTGTCACCGCCAAAGAAATATGCTTCGGACTACTACAATTACAAAGGCTGGTAAGTTGAGAAGGCCTCTTTATTGTTAATTAAGTTGTCTCTACGTTTATTGCATTCGTTTATTAACAGTCGATGCTACGTGTTTCAAATGAAATATGTTGTCTTGTGACTGGAAAGTTTTCTAGATAGCAGTACTGACTGCAATATTGCTGTTAAATTTGCAGGTATAGCATGATCTTGCTGGCTCTAGTGGACCACTGGTACTACTTTAGGTACAAAAACGTCGGCTCCCTAGGGCGGTGCCACGACTCGTTTGTGTACGGAAGATCCGTACTCTGCAAAGCTATTGAAAGCGGATCTTTGAAACTCCCAACAGCAACAGTCGAAGGAGTTTGTGTGCCTCCAATAGTGCTGTGTGACCAGGCATTTTCTCTATCGCCAAACCTGCAGAAACCGTATGCGAATGAACAGCCTGACACACAAGAAAGGGCGTACAACTATAATCTGTCAAAGAACCGAAGGATTGTAGAAAATGCATTTGGCCGTTTGAAAGCCAGGTTTCGTTTTATTATGAAACGCATGCAGTGCAAGCTCGCCACCACTACCTTGGTTATTAAGGCATGTTGTGTTCTTCATAACATCTGTGAAGGTTTTCAGAAACACGTAGAACCACGTTGGGAACAAGAAGTAGCATTGTGGAATGCTGCTTACGAGCAGCCAATTTGTACATCGGACGCGTCTAGCGAAAACGGTGAAGACGTCAGGAAAGCGTTAGCGAAATACTTCTTTGCTAGAACTCAGCCATCAGTCACCGTCTCAGGTAGCTGAAGTAATTTTGTGTCTGCAGCAGTGAAACTGTTTTTGAAGAATATATGCACCATTTACGGCCTTCATACACTGCGTCAAAGCTGTAGTTTGTTTGTGTTTGGTACAAAATTTTACCTGGAGTTTAATGCCCCAAAACCACGATATGATTGTGAGTAATGCCGTAGTGAAGGGCTCCGGAAATTTAGGCCACTTGGTCTGTTTGTCAGCAGTTGAAGTGTTTTTTTAAAAACGGCAAGCACATTGCTCACCTGTACTTGCTTCACTGTTTTCACAGCATCACCAAGCACCCCATGTTTTTATTGTTTACTATTTATGGCGCATGTTTTTTACTTCACAAAATCGTTGAAAGTGTGAGATTAGGTCTTTGTCAGATGGTGTTTTTCTAATTGCTCCAAATACTGTTCAACCAACTTGTATACCATGCATAATTCTTTTGCTCATAATTTTGTGTTTTATAAGGCAAGGTCATTTATCATTATTGTGCTTCAAAAGAAACAAATAACGCAGCAAACTCAATAAGCTTTTACCATTTAAATGGCTTTTTTAAAGTGACACCTATATCACCTGCACATTATGGCAGGCGATTGTGCATTGTATTTCATTTCTCTGTAATATTGTAGTCTTTACAGATTATCTTCACAACAATGTGTTATTGTACTATTTTAATAATTCATGTGAATATATTTCATATTGAAGTGTGCATTTTTTAATTCCTTGTACATATTTAAATGGTTTATCTCGAACCTTTGTTTTCATTTATTATACAACCGTTTCCTGTCTTTTAGTCACGTTTGATGCACAATTAGTCCATGTGCATGACCTCAGTGTTCGGTTGCTTGCTGCACACATATTTATTTATTATGTTTATTCTGACTCACTTGCCAAACGTTTGTCAATCTGCTATTTGTGGCTTTTTTAGTCATTTTCATAGTTCTTATAAAGAAGTGAAAGTTTGATTAGTTGAGTTATTAAAAAAGTTGCACAATCATGTAATGTTTTCAGAGTTATTAAACGTGTTTTTGCTGTTTATAGGAATACAAATGCACAAATTTGTGCATCACAACTTAAATTTAGTGTTTCCCAGTGAGAACTCTCCAGAAGCATACATAAGCGCTTTGGTTTCAATATGCCAAGCCTTCGGTTTCTGCACCAGGACATCTTAATTTCTCGGTGGGAGAAGTGCATACTAAACTGCAGTCAGCAAAGCGGTATTATTTGCTATCAAATCTCAGGATAACAGCATTAGTGTAGGTATGAGGGCACCATTAAAAGCACGGTAGGAGGACTCTAGGTTATTGCGACATGCAAAGAATCGGTGTGCGAATTTATGGCACTGGCTTTTATTTAGATTTCTTAAGCTCGATATATCTCGTTTGCCTACAACAATTTTGATTTTTTTGCATTCACTTAGTTATGTAACGTGTAAGTTGCGATTCAGAAGTTTGGAGACTAATAAAACATAGTAGCAGGGCTCTTTAATTAGGCTGCACGGAAATCCATGCTGCCTAATACTCGTACTGTATCGCTTAAAAAATGCACAATTACAAAGGCAAACTAGTATTTATTGAATAAATAAATCTTTCTTTAAGGCCTCCATTATTCAAGGAACTTCTGAAGAATATCAATCAGCTTTTCTTCTCTTTTAGCTGCTTCCTTCTGAAGCTTCAACTGTTCATTCTGTAGCTCGAGCTCTCGTGCTTTGCACTCTTGCCAAATTCCTCTAAACATGTTTTGCTCTTTAACCATTTCTATTATTGCAGAATCGGGGCCAGCTCATGTCCTTTTTTTAAGCAGTTGGCTCTGCCGCAGTTGCTCCAGCTTCCGCTGGTGCCAATACACTGCATTGCGGAAGGCTTTCCACGGCAGGTGCAGCTGTCTCCGCCGGTCCAGTTGCTGCAGTTTTATCTAAATTAGCAGTACTTGAGGCAACGGTGGCACTTGAAGATTCTGGAACTTCTGTCACCAGCTGCATGTCGGCCTCACTGCCAAGAATTCATCCCCCGTTTCCATACTGCGTACAATCTGCGAAAAGTTACATAAGTTATAACGGTAGTGTCACAAAGGCTGGACCCATATTAGAGACACCATTCGTTGCAACTTGCAGCAGTGCTCAGGGGAATGTACATGCTGACGAAGCAGTAGACAAATACACATTTACGCACATAAAGCAATGCAAACACTGCAATTTTATGTGTGATGGTGTCCGTTTGTGCAATGCTTTTTGAAATCATCATGGCTCACCAAGTAACCCATCGGCACATATAAGGTAGATACCAACCTGTGAAACGAAGAGGCTTTCGCAGTTGCTTTCAACAGCAAGTGTGGCGTCATTTACCGGCCGTCTCCCAAGGAACTGGTGTATTCGCCAATAAAATGGCCACGTGACCACACCAGAACCTGTAGTTCTTTTTTGAGAATAATCGATAATAAACGAAAGTGCAAGCTAAGTAGTAGTGACAGAAGCAAGTCGAAACGATACTCTGGGCTTGTGTATGACTCCACCTCATGGCACCAGGTTTTGAACAGTGGAATAGGTTGAATTGTTGTGCATACTGCGTGTGATAATCCAATTCGATAGCACTATTCAATGGCAAGACGACTGCACCAACTTACACAGAGCCCATTCTTGGTAGTCGCACTATAAAGATAAAAAATCCTAGGTACACAAGGTATGTCTAGAGTTAATGTTTTCACAAGTGGGCCTGTCTTCTGTAGGATTTTAGTTTCTGAGGACAAGTCCGTTTGTTGAAGTGTTGGTTTCAGGAACATCCTGTCTTCCAGTGGTTTTTTTTTTCATTGCTTCAAACTTTTATCTCCGTCTGAACTTGCCAATAAAGGCACATGAGAGAGGGCATGAGGACGAGCTATTAATTCATCTAAAATGTAGCCCCGGAAGGCCATACAATCAATGCGGGTACAAATTTGTTTAAATTGACCACTAAATGGGCATAGCAAGTGTTTTTATGCGTGACACCTAGCCAAATCACACCGAAACGCTCGTAAGGGACAGAGCTTTTTCGCGCCGTTTTCCGCGAAGATTTGGTTGGTTAGAAGTGTGGCAGCTTGGGCTAGTTGGTATGGCATGACGATAGTTATAGCGCGAGAACAAAAAGACGACACAGACACAGGGAGTGTCCTTGTTGTCGCTGTGTCGTTGTTTTGTTATCCCGCTATAACTATCGTCATTTGGTTGGTGGCAGCATTGACATGCACGGCGTAAGCTCCTCGGCAGTACACAGGCAGGATATTCAAGTCAAAATGCTCACCTGTACTTGCTTCGCAGATTTTCGATCTTAGTATGTACTTGGGCTCACGTCCTCACGATGCCTTACCTGGCCAGCGCTGCCGTGATGGCAGAGTAAATTTTGCCATTCCGCTTTTGTCCACGAAGGCCTCAGAGGTGTTCTTCCCAGAGCGTAATCAAAGTCATCGTCTCCTCTTCGGTCCAGCTCGCGCGCTCATTGGGACACGTCATCTCTTCTTTTATTTCTTCTTTGTTTAAGCAGAGCGAAATGGCGCGTGCGGGTTGGCAGAAGATTGGAAAGCAAAGAATGGAAACTGATGAAAAAAGCAGAGAAAGTCACAGAAAAAGTGAACTCGATGGCAACGGCGATGAAAATACCAGTGTGGCATGCTTGTTTGCCAAAGTTTCGCTAAATGTGACAAGCGTTTCATTATTAATACTTTATTTTCTTCATATAACGTTCAAAGCACCTTTTTAAGACTTTAGTGCAAATAAAAGACAGGAAATTTTATTTTTAGCTCAATATTATTTGTTTTACATACTTTCAGGTAAATCGCACTTTGCGAGCTGTGTCGTCGAGAGTAGGCATTTCTCAGTTAACTGAGTTCTGGCGAAGGCATTCGGTGGTGAATGGCATTCGAATGAATGCCATTTCGTTCGCCCGTGTGGCACCGCACGAATGGCAATAAATCTGAAGGCATTCGGGGGTAAATGCCATTTTTCCTGCCCGTGTGACACGGGTATTACACAAAACAAGTTGGTGTATTAGCACATAAATAATGTGTAAATAGTGTCACATGAAATCAGTGTACTGTTTCTTTGTGTCCACTGTGAAACTGCTTTGGTAGGTGGCAGCTCGTTGTATATGCTGCAAAAATTGTAGTTGTACACATGTGTCAGTGTGCCCCTTCTTATTCGGTGGACATCTGAAAACACATGCTTGTAATAAAAGAAAGTGTTCATGAACCACAGTGTGCTTTCGTGTGAAATAAGTTTTATGCTTTCGGCCGGGCTGTGTTCTAGTCAGACAGATTTCAGAATAAATGCAGTACTAATCTTACCGCTGAGCCTAAGAGCACTCACTGCAGGGGAACGTGGTCTCCTATGCTCTACGTTATCTCGTGAGAGGTTGTAGCAACATCTAAAAACACTGCTGTATTATACAGCATAATGAATTGCAAATGAGTACCAACATTCTTCGTTGCTGTCGCCATAGAAATCATCTTGTCTAGCTAATGTCAATAAAGAGGCTTTATGAATGCTGCTTATGTAGTCTAACTCCTATATAAGTGACACTCATATAAGAGACAAAGTGGCATAAGAGAAACCAGTGTGCTTACTTTGAAATAAGGTTAATAGGAAAATCTGCAAGATTCTTCAATTGCTCCCAAGTGCATGTCTCTTATACAGGTGCTCAAAGAGGCCTACGACCAGAATTGAGGGCCATAGCCTCCTTGAATTAATTCAAGGAGGTTATGGCCCTACCCTCCTTATAATTCGGATAGAGGGGTGTGTTCTACCCAACATAAATAATGAAAATGCGGGTTTTTAAAGGCCTCAGCAGGTGGGCCACTCCTGAACAATTTCTGGCAACGGGCCCGCATTGATTTGTACAAGCTCTTATGTGCAGCATTATAAAATCTGCAGGTTGCCCCGTAATGCATGAAAGTGTCTCGGCAGGCTTTTCACAGGAATGAAACTGTCGCGTCACATTCGTATAGTTTTAAAACGCACAAGTGAAAAAAATGAGCATGCACTGCAGCAAGAACCAACTGTGTTCTGGCAAAAATACGTGAACTGTCATGAACTACTCTACAGTGAACTAGCTTAGGCTGACCTCTCTGCCTTCTAATAAATTCTCACAACTACTCTAAGGTGAAATGTTTCAGGGAAATAACGGGTTTAATTTTTTTGTTGCAAACATGAAAGGGCACACACTACCCCAGAGAATACCTGTCCCACGTGGTGGTTTCAGTATGCGAACTAGTTTGTGAGCACATGCCCATCGCATGTTAACTGTCACTGAATGCTTGTAATACCTGCAGAAACTGTCGCTGAAGGAAGGCAAGTATGTGACGTGAACTTGAGCAGCTGGCTTTTCTTTCTCAGCAGGGAAAGATCCGCCCATTTGGACAGATGTTTCAGCAGCTGGCTTTTTTTAGCGGGGGAAGATTCATCCATTCGGACAGGTGTTGAGCCACCGAGAGGCCTGAAACCTCTGGGAGCTGTGGCACTGAAGCAACATCGGCTGAAGCTGCTACTGCTGCTCATGTGATGAGGCACCACACTGTGTCTGCACTGCGGATTCTGTGGTGAAGGCAGCTGCTGTCTGTGTATTGGCCGAAACAAGCACCCTCCGGGTCATGTTCACTTGCGAAGCTGAGATGGTTATGAAACACTCAAACAAAACTTCTTTGAATGGTGTCATGCCCGATCGTTCATCATCATGCATGATTTCCTGCTAGTTTTTTTTTTGTTTAGGAGCTTAGATGTGAATACTGTAACTGATGAGCTCCTGTACATTTTATGACTCATACGTGCATTTTTCAACCTTTCGGTCAACTTACCAACGGACCGGCATTCCATTGTCTTTCAAGTTGTCACTGTACTCGTGGTTGCCTTGTGCACAGTTTTTGTGTAATTGCCTGGATATGAGGTGGTGATAATAAATATATCATGTTACACCTGCACTTTTGATAAACTGTGTTTTAAAGATCACACTGTCTTTGTGCCTTTGTGGTAATAAATCGCTTGATATAAAATATCTTGTGTTTGTTTTAAATAACATCAACACGCTTGGTAATATTAGGATGCTTCTGGTTTTTACAATAACTTCCCTGGTGCCAATTTATGTTTCAAAGAACACAATATATTTTCTCATCTGGGAGCTGAGAGCTGTGGAAATCGAGCTGCCTTATCCGGCATCAGCTAGTTGCACAGTGCATGACTGCATAAGAATGGTGTTAGAGTTATTTTCTATATTATGCAGCAATACTATGCAACACATATACATTCCACTCTAACTTTTGTGCAGTGCCAATGTACACAAACAGGGCAGGGCTAACCGGGCTAGCAGAAGGTACCAAGACTGTGCCACACTCTCCGACAAAAAAGCAGCAATTTCTTTTGCCACAGGCACAATGGATGACAATGGTTTTAAGTGTTGTCTTTGCATTTCCATTCACGCATCTTATGTGCAGTAATTCCATATAAATAGCATCAATTGTTTTTGTGTGTGTGTGTACTGAAAACATGCTGCCAATCAATCTTGTAAAATACTCAAAGAGACTGGAGAGTTTATTGTATTAGTATAAAAACTACTTCGGCATTTTCGTTTTCTTCACATCTCGGATGGACTAAGCACACTAACTCTGCATGCAGTTTTACTAATTAGCAGTTCTTTTTTGATGAGCTGCCAAGTACTTGTTAGATGTGAAGTCCACACTTCATTGCGCTGCTGTTATTTGGTGATCATGCAATATGGCATAAACAAAGGAGTTTTGCGGGTATACAAATAAATAATAATTAGGGAACACTGTGGTGCAAATATTTCTCGGCTTCTTTGTTTTCCTGCATAATATGCCACAACCTAAAGCTACAAGCTTATAATTGGCCCCGTAAGCAGCCATAATCTTTTTCCATGAATTTCTCAAAGCACAGTCGATGAATTAAACACCCAGCCCCGCCGCGGGGGTCTAGTGGCTAAGGTACTCGGCTCCTAACCCGCACGTCGCGGGATCAAATCCCGGCTGCGGCGGCTGCATTTCCGATGGAGGCGGAACCACGTTTTCAGTGCGTGTCGCACGATCCGGATCTACCTTGAACTTACCTTTTGAACAGGAAGGAACAAAGACGGCAGTGCGTCGCATTTGAGGGGATGCCTCTTCACATCGCCGCACAAGCAGGGAATTGCGTCCGTAGTCCTCCAGCTTAAAGTGGCGACCGCATACGCGTAAATCTCTCCGCCGATCTGATACGGGCAATCAGATGCGCTGCAGCCCCTCGGTGCGCCTGCTGTTTTTTCCCAGGGGCACGGTGTCGTATCTTCCCTTGTCGCCAATCAACGGGCTTGCAGCCCACAATGAGGCAAGGGTAATTCATGGTGTCACAGTGTATAGGTGTTCTGTGGTGTCGCAACAACCGCGTGATGCCCACTCGTTGCGCAGCTCACGTCAACAAGGAGCGTGTGGGATCCAATCAGACAACGTTCGCCGTGTGCAGGAAGTTCCAAAGCTTAGGAGTAAACTGCAATCGTCTTCTTTTTCTTTGTAAAAATGTTTAATCAAAATAAATTTAAAGTGTTTTACTGGCTGTGGCGGCTGCATTTACGACGAAGGCGGAATTGTTGTAGGCCCGTGTGCTCAGATTTGGGTGGACGTTAAAGACCCCAGGTGGTCGAAATTTCCGGAGTCTTCCACTACGGCGTCTTTCATAATCATAAGGTGGTTTTGGGACGTTAAACTCCACGTATCAATCAATAGCGTGAGGCTACATTTATTCTTGGCACATGATATGCACACTGTCAGTGGTCTAACGGCGCCAATTGCACCTTTTCGCTTATGTAAACCTGCTTGCTTCAATTTAATATCCCTATGCCTTGCTGCACAAATTCGACTACATATTCCGCCAGCCAAGCGAAAGTTCCTTAGTGCGTCTGTTTAGACCGCATTGAACCGTTCATGACCCCAAACTATTCTTCGTCGCAACAAACCTAACTATAGCGTTTACGAAATACCGTTGATGCTCTCTACTTGATTCAATGAAGCAATGAACGTTTTGTCGTCGCAGCATTCTTGCGGATGTAGCCTAACCAAAGTCCCTGCGTCACCGCGTGTGTCTCCATTTTTGAAAGTTTAACATGCCATCTTCTCTCTCTTTTTTCAGTGGATTGGCGTTGATGGTTTTCATTCGCGAGTGACTCTGCGTACGGTAATGTGGTCATCGCAGTCAAGTGGCAACGGCTTTCAGCACTACGCACTGACGCCGTTTTTATGCAAACCAAGTTTCGGCCAGGCAAAAGTTTGTTTGAAACTTTGAAAAAAGCATGCTTCTTAATCACGCTGCGCAACGTTCTTCGGTATGCCTATCATAAACCGAAGCCTAATGCTCATGCTCGCGCATGTCCCCGTCTTGATGGCGAAACCGGCGTAACACGGCGGCCAACCGCGCCCAAAGTGTGCTACACCATAAGTCACAAACAAAGATTAAGGGCTATCATGCGTCCTAAATGCTGGTAGAACAATGACTGTTGTCGTCAATTGACAATAAAGCTCAAAGAGGTCACCGCGGCTTGAAAAAACACCCAACTGGTTCCCTCACACTTGTTGAAATATATAAACGTTTGCAAGGCCTGTTCAGTGCGGCCACTATTTGTTTGCAAATTGCACAGAGACAAGCAATCAGCGGCCCTTCCGCGGGAATTTCTCGTTGTCCATGGGCTACTTAACTGCGTTGTGTGGTGGCTTAGACCCAAACCTCACTGTAAAACTGTGAATTAAGAAAACAGACCGATTGTAGCCCCACTAGTTATCAGCAGATGCTAAACCGAACACTAAAACAACCTTCCCGAACCAAGTCTTCTGACCCCTGTCAACGGTGGATCAAAGAGTGGTGATTGTGGGAGAGGGGAGGTGCGCGGCTCGGCCGTTCACGTACTCTCTTCTCCGGCGGCATTCCTATGTTACGTACTTACAGTCTTACTAATGCTCCGCTTTAATGCACATCGTGTGCAATGTAGTGAAGCCAGTATGTGACACTATTTCATGCTAAGAACTTGAACAATGGCTATTCTCTAGATTTGGCCTTGCCTCCTTGTTTGGTTATGCTACGAGATGGCTGCATTGTTACATATGAAATCATTGGTGCCGTAGCACCAGAACCTGTTGAAATTGAGCAACTTGGCTTTGCTTCCGTAAAACTTGTATCTGGGAGAGTTGGTTCATAATTCTGGGTAAACTGGTGTGTGCAAATGCAGACAAACGACATCAGAAAAGAAGAGACAGGGACAAGCGCAAACTTTCACAAGTTTGCGCTTGCCCTGTGTTTTCTTTTCTGTGCTGTTGTCTGTATTTGCGCAAACTAATTTACCCAGAATCGACTTGGCTTGTTAGGGCAATGCTGTTGTAATAGCAGGAAGTCCGAAGCCAATGGTTAGCGTACCAGAAGGAACGTGCAATGGCCAGGTGTGGTTGTGCTAGCACAAAGCCTCGAAAGTCTGTCTTATGCCTGCGGCCTAAGAGGAGGAGGCACAACGCATTTCACAACACTGAAAGTTATACATATTGCATTCCTTCACTGTATCTCATGGGCCACATGTACAGTTGTTTATCAACTAAGCCATTTACGAAAAATACCCGTTGGAGAAACCATTTTTTTCATTCTTTGGGAGCAAAATCCCACACAATGTGACACTTTGTAATAGCTGGCTCAAAACACAGCTT